CGCCCCCGCCGGGCTTTAAAGGCGCCGCGCCCGGGCGCCCGTGGCGGGCGCGGTCCGGCGGGGTGGGGTGTACGGGCGGCATCGTCTGCCTGCTCACCTTTTTCCACTCGGTTTTTCGCCTTCCCTTGCTGCGCAAACTCGCCCCGCGACGGGATAGTCTGCGGAAAGATTCCCCTGCCCATACCCCATATTGAGTTGACTCTTTTTTACCCAAGGTGGGAAGACCATTTCTAAAACCGCCACTCGTGGAAAGGCTCGGCCTTGTACTCAGTGACAGTTCAAGGGGAGCCTCTGCCTCTTCACTGGTTGTATGTGACATTGGGCTCTTCTCCCTGAGCCCCAGTTTCCTTTTCTGTAAAGCAGGAAGATGATCTTACTGTTGAAATTAACGACTCTCACGTGTTGCACACCTGCTTCTGATCCATCGTGCTGCACACTTGACCTCATCGTATTTTCTCAGCAATTCGGGAATGCTCCGCATCCCCATTTCACCGGTGGGGAAACTGAGACTCAGAGAAGAGTGACATACCCAAGGGCATAGAGCTACTAAGTGCTTCATTTACCATTGTCTGACTCCAGACCCCATACTCATTTCACAAGGCCACCGTGCTCCTTCGGGAGGGGTGTTATCACCCCATCACTCTATCTAGGGTGCCCCCTGGGACCTCCTTAGAAAGTATCATTGTTCCTGGGTAGCTCTGTGGGTAAAACCCAAGTGCCACCTGCAGGCCACGCAAGGGGCCCTGTTCTAGGACCCCTTAGAGACTGACATTCCCCTTCTCTCCCTCAGCTGTTCCTGCCTCCTTGGCTTAGGAATACTTGGAGGACTCAGACTCAGACTCCACGTGAACGCTCAGCACAGGGCCAGGCACCCTAGTAGCTGCTCAAGAAGCTTAGCGAATGAATTAGTGTCCTAGAACTTCAGAGAGGCTAGGAAACTAGTGAAACTACTGTGAGGACCTGTCAGCCAAGTGGGCCCTGGGCCAGGCATTTTACAGTGACCCCTGTAACAGTCCTACAAGGAATCCTGTACCCATTTTACAGATGAGAAATTGAGGCTCAGAAAACTCAAGGTATTTGCCCAGGATTATAGTACTCATAAGTGTTGGGGTTGACATTCAGGCTCTTCCACTTTGTGAGGCTGCCTTTCACAGTCACCAGAGGAAGGGCTCCTGACCAATTAGTTCAGCTCGGTCAACACCTGCCTGTTGCAGAGCCTGGCATGTGGTGGGGACTCAGGAAGGAGCTGGGGCAGTAGAGGTGGCTATGGTGAGAAAATGGGACCATCATTTCCCACACATCCTGTCATTAGTGCTCAGCTCCCCTCAGAACTGTGCTGGAGCTGGGAGAGGACAAGGAGAGGGAGATGCTGTCACCAGCATGCATGCACCCAGCCCCTCAGTCTTCGAGAGGACCTGGAGGATTGGGCATCTGTGGAGATGCAGCTAGCCTGTGCCCAGCTCATAGTACACACTTGGCCCACAAGAGCCATGAGAGGTGCTGCTACAAGACCCTGCACTTCTCAAGGACATCAGGCAGGAGCATGGTACCTTTGAACAAAGAACCCAGCTTTGATGGAGATTCTCCAAATGTCAGCGGCAGCTTCCCATTGCCCAGCGTGAAGCTCATGCTCCCGGGGATGGCAGCGGAAGCCTTTCCAGGCAGAGGCCCTCACCCACCTGTTCATGTCCTACCAGGCCCCACACCTGCCCTCACTGCTCCTCAGAAACACCCTGCAAAGTCATCCCTCTGAGCCTTTGCTTGGGCTGTTTCCCCAGCCCAGAGGCCGTTCTCCTCTTCTGTTCCGTATAGCACACAGGACTCAGGAGCAGCTCTGGGACGAGGCTGGAGGCTGTGCTGTGTAGGCCCAGAGTCCTTGTCCACCCTTCCTCCCAGTATACTGTGAGTCCCCCATCCGTCCCTTCCCTCCGCCCCAATCCTCACAGCTGCCCAAGGGACATGGGGACATTATTTCTGTGTTTGTGGCCCCGAGAGGCATTGGCACATGGACGGTAGTGAGGCCTGGCCCTGCCCCAAGCCTGCGGCAGGGTGTCTGTGGGAGGCGGGGCTCTGGCGCTGCCCCCTCTGCTGGCAGCCAGACTGCTGGGGACGTCCCGCTGCTGGGACTGGCCTAGGAGCCAGGTTTTGCGGCCCCCGCCCCCCGCCAGGGTGGAAAGGAGTCGGGGGGCCCTTCTTCTGGCAGACGTGGTGCAGAGGGCGCCCCAGGGGCCATGGGATGCCAGGCCTGTTACCATGGCAACAGCCGCTCCCTGGAAGCCAGAGGTGGGGGGTGGAACGGCCCGGCCCCTGTGCAGATGCTGCCTGGGAGAGAAGAGGCCTCTTGGGCCGCCTGCCCACCCACCCAGCCTCGTTACTCGATCCCCCTCTTTACAAAGGCGGAACAATACCCGAGGCACTCACTGAAAGGGAGACTATGAGGAGGACCGGAGGGGACGGGAGGAGGGCTGTCACTGTCAATGCCCATCCCCAGTCCTGCTCCCCTGGGCAGCGGGCCGGGCGGCGAGGTGGGAGCGGAGCCCCTCTCAACTCCTCCCTTCCTGGGGGCCTTGGCTGGGGGTCAACAGTTTGTCCCTGCACATGTGGGACCTGTGGGACCCTCCTGACCTGTGTCCCCCCTCCCTGCCCTCCTAGAGATCCTTCTTACCGCACCCTCACAGACTGCAACCACCACTTACCCCCCACCGGACCCAAGCAGCCCCCTCCAGGGTCAGCCCCTCCCTACCTCCCCTCCCCAACTCACTCTGATATTGCTCCTTGGTGCTCCTCGGTGTCTTAGTGCCTGGCCTGGAGTAGCTCCCGTAGATGTTTGTTGTGGGAACAGAATGTCGGAATAAGAAGGGGGCCATAGATCCTTCTGGAAGAAGCTGAATGCAAGTGGGGCCTGAGGTTGGGTAAATGGTTTTGATTGGACTCTGGAAGATAGAGGTGTCCATGTGAATAAGCAGGGACCAGAAGGTCCTGCACCTCCTCCAGGTCCTGGGGACGCCCCTCAGGAGAAGCTGTTGTGGGTAATGGAGACCCAGCGGGTTCATGGATACATTTGCTCCCTGGGATGGGGCAGATGGGAAGTTGAGTGTGTCCTCGTGGAGGTGGCACTCACATGTGTATGGCTGTGGGTGTGTCGTTATTCTTGTGTGCACACACGTACCTGGGTTCAAAGCACTGGCCAGGTAATACTCCCTGGTGGGGTTCAGAGGATGCTCTCACCTCTTGCAGCTTGAGACTCTCCTTCTGATTCAGTTTCCCTTTATGGAGATGTCAAGAGCTGGACTAGATTGTTAGTTCCATTCTTACTGAAGTAGCATTTAAAAAATTCCTTATTAGGGCTTTGATAATTTTCACAAGTAATTCGATATGGAGGTGAGCAGAGAAATAAAATAATCGCCTCTACCTCCCCTGAGGTAACCAGTATTAAGAGTTCAGGCATCTCTTTTGATACTTCTTTCTAGACTTCACAAATGTATATATGCATGTAGTTCAGTCTTTTCATTCTTGTACTAAAACGGAATTAATATCGTATACCTTACAGTGCTTTCTTCTCACTTAAAAATCAATCATGGAAGATGCATGGATACATGTTACAAATAATAATAGTAAAAACTTAATGGTAGAGTCTAGGTGGTGAGTACTTGGGGTGCTAACTATAAATTTTGTCCAACTCTTTTGTATATTTTTTAATTTTTATAATAAAATATTTGAAAAGATCTATTATGAATGTCTTCCATGTCAAAACACAAGAATGAAACTGTTTCAAAAGCCACTTTGATTTCGACAGTGTGGATTTTTTTTATAAATTATTCAGTTAATCCCCTGTGGATAGACATTTAGCTCGTTTCTGATATGGCTTACATTACACACATATACATGGATATATGCATCTATATTCAGGGTCAGCAAACTGTGGCTCACAGGCCAGATCTGGCTGGCTGCCTGTTTTCGTAAATAAAGTTTTATTGGAACACA